TTCTGCGGTTGTACGCATTTCGCAGCCCCTTGCACGCTTCTCGGAGCAGGTAGCCAGGTGGGCTTCGCTCTACATACTCCTTTTACTCTTCGTGGTGCGAGCAAGTGCTGGAATCAAATCCTGAACAATCGACTTTCATCTCCACTGCCGCCGAAAAACACTTGCTGTGTCAAGTTCATCCGAGCTTTCGCAAACTTCCGGGAACCGGATCATCCGTGGCAGATAGCTTGTCGTTTGATTCCTTCACACGCTTGTCGCGTTGGAACCGAAGAATTCGATGTCGACTCTCACGTTTCGCAGCGAGCTCCTCCACTACGTCGTTTTAAAGGATATTGACGTAAGCTTCGTTAGGATGACCCCGAAGATGACTGTGATCTTGGATTCTCACTCTGGAAACCAAATCACTGGTCTGCAGCTCGCACCATTGAGCTCGGCTTGGAGGCTGATAACCGAGCTCTCGTCGAAGACACCACACTCTCGAACAATGCTAAAATCCGCCATCAAGCTTGATTTAGACGACGCCAGGGCGGCCTGGGATGAAAATGGCATCGGCCGGACCAAGCGTGCTGATCAACGTCGCGTCAAGATCATTAGTAACGTGTAGAAATGGTGTGTCAGCGCTGAGTCCCGGTTCGGTGATATCATTCCTGAAATTTTGTTTGAGCCGTCGATGCCTGGCAATTTTTTTTTCGAATATCTGACTTGGATACCTCCGTCTTGAACACATTCCGGCGTTGGACACCGCCGAACCATGGCGTATTGGATGGGTTGACACACCTGATCTGCACCCGTACAACACGACACCCGCACCATGTAGTGTTGGATTTCTGCTGTTGCTGGTGAAACCCGTGAGTCCGTGGACCACCATAGTGAAGTGAATCTGCTTTTGTCCAACACCGCAATTTCGCCAAACTGGGATGCGGACTTCGCAGTGCCTCGAGTAGCCACGGATCCTGCTTCTTTGAACGAACTGCTTCTGATGCTGCTGCCGAGAACCCGCCGGTCGTCAGCGATGAGGATTTTACCCAATTCTTTGCCAGAATGGCTACTAATGCTGAGCCAGGCCATTTGGCTGGCGCTTCAGCGACGTAGCTCGTTCTTCGCGTTTATGTCGGTGTGTTTGTCGATCTCCTAATGTTCCAGCTGTAGCTATGTCAAATATACGAAGGTTGGTCTCACATGTCATTCTTACCGTTTCGTTCCAACGCGTTAATATTCTTGTTTCATATAATATGTAAGTCCAGGATGCAGTAATTGCCTTCGTCTGTAAATCAAATGTGACGGTGCTGGGAGGGAAGACGCTGTATCTAAATCGGTGGCGTCCAGGTTTCCTGGGTCTCCCGAGTACCGGAGGTGGCTCGCTACCGTTGTGAATGAGTTCGAAGTAGCATCTCAACTAATGTTTACATTGCCGTAAGCTCCAAAGTGCAGTCTTGGGCTGCATTGCGTCAAGTACAGGTCGGTTTTGGCGATAATTTACAGGTCAGCCCTCATCAGCAAATGTGACTGCCAGGTTCGAAGAGTGACTTCGGTGCTTCGCTGCTATTTTCCTGAAAGGTTTGCGAATCATCGTCGCAATGCTATGTGGATTCGCGCTGTACAACCCAAGTCAGCAGCCGCTCGTTCTTTGCGACTCAAGAGCCTTGTTACTCAGAGCCTTGTTAAGCTTCTCAGCTCTTCGCGTCTTCTCCGTAGATTAATACTCCTTCGCCGTCTCCAGCGCAATTTTGCGTTGTCTGTTTACTTCTCGACGTCACGCTAATTCATCGGATTGTCTGCTGCCCCCGACGAATCGACTCCGTCATGACTTTGAGTGCCATGTGACCATCCCATCCATGCACAAGATAGAAATGTGTCTCTTTCCGCGTCGTATCGTGCGAGTTGCTGATAGCAAACACCAGTCGCTCGAAAATTTCGTCCCAATCTTGCTGCAGCTGACTTCGGCGTATACTCTAACCAACTGGATTGCGGTCTTTACTGTGGTCAAGGTGAGGCTCTAAATTGGGTTGAGAGGACGAACTGTGCATAATTTAGGGCGCCAAGCTAGGAAAAACCCGCAAGAGGCGCAAGCGACTCTTCGATTGTGAAGGCTGCGTTCAAGAGACGCAAGGTTGTCAAGCACTCCCTCTTCGTGAGTGTTGGCTACATTCCACCGAATACCAGCACTTCTTTTTTTCGATCAAGCTCGTGCTGTCAGACCAATGGAAGCGAATAACCACAGAAGCTAACAATGCAGATATGTCTGGTGTACAAGAGCGACCTGTGGAACGTGAACATTGTTGATGAAGTACGATCCAGAATAGGGAGGAATAATGCTAATAATTGAATTTTTAATTTCTTCTCTTGACGAGAAAGTATGAATCTATGTATTGGATTGTCGGGACCCCTGATGTAACCTCCCGTTTAAATATATGGTCCTTGCTTATAATGACCTCTTCACTCTACCTTTATAAACTATAGAATACAAAATTGATTTATTTGCTTCTAAAAGGACGCTTTTTCGACCTTAACAAAATCACGGTACTCGTTTTGGATTACTTCTTTTAACAAATTAAAAAGGATAGCATGATGCTGCAATCTCATGACTGAAGCTGACTTGAAAAAGGTATATTTTGATGATTACGAATCCTACAGTATATTTGCAATGCCTCAGAAGGCGGTTCAGGACCGGTGGAACTTCCGTAATAGAAAAACCGCCTTTTAGAGACTGGTTCCTACTGTAAAAGGGTGTTTTTACCCTTTTGCCACGAATATGTTAATTGGACTAATGCAACCAGGTAATGATGAGCTCCGAGGCGTACTGACGCGCTGTTTGAAAAACAAGAAGCCCGATGTTTATATGTTGAAAATTGAGGGCTGTGCAGCTATTAATATTGTATCGGCAGAAAATGAAGGGGCTAGTAATCAAAGCCCCTTGGTGGGCTTAATTTTGATAAAACCAGGTGCCTGGCTGGAAGGTTGGCCGACCATTTTGGCTGCACTCCGTGACGAACGATTCTGTTCCATTTTGCGACGATTGGCACGAGCACAGTGTCCAGCGGCGGAGCTAATTCGAAGAGGTCTTTGTTGGGTCTGGGATCGGATGCTGGTTGACCGCGAAGCAGCCGTACTACGTCAGATAAGCTCCATTTACTTTGTTGGTGAATGTTGACCAGAACTGGACCTGGTCCGCATTAACGTCGTCTATCAGGTTCGGTCTGAGTGGAGATGGAGATAATCCGACAGCGTGCTTCTGATAGTTTTCGTAAGCGGAGGCCTGGTTGAGAACGCGTGCTTGATTCAGGGTGGCCAAGAAGATTTTATACCGCTCACGTTCCTCTTTCTCACCGCTTTGGCTGTTGTCAGAGAA